CTGTTCCTCACTCCCTTATCACCAGCTGCACTTGATTAGGTTGCTCACTATATTACCCGGTTTCACTCCTCAGTCACTTGCCATACTTCTACCTTCAGGCTTCTGTCTCTTCCTATGTGGACTGCACAGTCCAAAAAGAATCAGTATAATCAAACACAGCTGGACTCAAATGAAGGAGTAGAACCATCTCAGGGATGATCAGATGAAATGGACAGAGCCTAAGTTAAATATATGAGTGTCACAGCAAAGGGTCTGAATACTTATGACCATGTGATATTTCAGTTTTTCTTTTTTAATAAATCTGCAAAAATGTCAAAAATTCTGTGTTTTTCTGTCAATATGGGGTGCTGTGTGTACATTAATGAGGAAAAAAATGAACTTAAATGATTTTAGCATATGGCTGCAATATAACAAAAAGTGAAAATTTTAAGGGGGTCTGAATACTTTCCGTACCCACTGTATATATATTTATACATACACGTTGAAGCTTTGAGTCTCGGTGCCTGCAGTCCACATGTCGAAGTGTCCTGGGGCAAGACACTGAATGTATGCACGCAGCGGCCCGTGATGGTGACGCGTATGCACGCAGCGGTCCTCGGCCCTCGGCTCCAAATATTATTTCATTGTACGTGTCACAATGTTACAATAACGATAAATAAAGCTTCTTCTTCTATATATACTCATATGTGTATGACAATATATGCAGTAAATACATATATAGTACAGGCATCATGTTGGAACAGTGGCTATCGCTGTCACCTCACAGCAAGAAGGTTCCAGGTGGGACCCCTGGCTGACCCATTGGCCTTCTGTGTGGAGTCTGCATGTTCTCTCTGTGCCTGCATGGGTTCTCTTCGGGTACTCCGGCTTCCTCCCACAGTCCAAAGACATACAGCTCGTTAGCATAAGTAGTAAAGATAATGAATGTATGTACGGTACAGTATCTATGTACTGTATGTCTGTAAACCTACGTTTTAAAATGAAATTGGTGGATTTGAATCCAGAATCTTCTTGCTGTGAGGTGACAATGCCGCAGCTCCACTGAAACTGAAATTAATGTTAAAATTATAATGAATAAAAAATATTCATAGTTAACTAGTGCAGCCATCATCTTCCAAGTTGAGAAATGCTGTACCTTTTTTCCCTGTATGTTCAAAACTATAACATGTACAAGCATTGCAGGGCAAGTTAAAAGTGCTTATTCAACAAAACTACTTCAGGCCTTGTTCCATTTCAGGATTATTGACTGGTAAAACATACTGTCACACACACTCTCACAGCCTGCCTATAGTTAATGTATGACCACACAACAGGTCCGCTGACCAGCTGCACACTGGGCCTGCTTTGATCCAGTTCATTGGAAACAGTGAACGCTGGCCTTAGCCTAGTGGTTGGGCCAGAGGTTATCACCATACACTTACACACACGCACTCACAATGATAAAGTCTTCAGTGAGGTGGGTGGAGAGATGCCTTATCTGTCTCTGATGGCCAAACATGCGGCTGGCTGTCAGTGACCTGAAGTCAGGTAAACAGACCTGCAGCTGATAACAGCTGTAAGGGACAGAAGGAGGACCAAACTGTTGATGAGATTGGAGCCACAGGGTAAAGTGGCGAGGGCTAGTCACTGAGGTTATGGGGATGGCACTTGATTACCGTGAAACTTTGCAGCTCTGCACCATCAGCTATGATTCCAGAGATAGAATCGACTTTCAGAAACCGCTATCAGCGCATTTCTGTAAACTTGGGTAGCTGGGCTACTATTAACTGGAGGAATCAGATTTCTTCACTCTTCATCTATACAAGAAAGCCATTTTTAATAGTAGTAGATTCATCATCATCACCTTTATTTATTCAGGGAAAAGTCCATTTGAGCGCAAGCTCTCATTCTCAGTGGTGCCCTGACATACAATTAAAACCTCTGAAACATTAAAACATAAACACACGAATCAAATAAAATTAGTATTAAAATCCAAAATTACAAAACACACATTAAAAGCAATAAAAACATATACAAAATCAATGTAAATATATTAAAACACAGTGTCCAAATCATCTGTTACACTCACATTTAAGCAGTAAAATGCTATATAAAAACAGTTTAAACTGAGATAAAGTCATGAGCGTGGCTAGTTTACTTCCATCGTTGTGGGGCATAGTAACATCTATGGAAAGACATCTTTCCTACTTCTGTATTGGCAAAGAAGGGCTGCAGAACAAGATGATCTTGTGAGTGGGTCTGGTACGTTGATGATTTAAAACTCAGGAGGCATGTCTTATATTCAGGCAACTTATTAAGTAGGGCTTTATCGATGAATAACATACAATGATGCTCTCTTCTCAGTGTCAAAGATGCCCAACCTACTTTCTGATATAGTTTACAATGATGTGTCCTAAAGGGATCTCCAGTAACAAATCTAATGGCAGCATGATACACTGAGTCAGGTGGTTTCAGGGTTTTGACACAGGCTGGCATAAAAATTATATTGTCATAGTCCATTACCGATGAAATTGTTGCTTGTATCAACTTCCTCCTGTGATGCTCATTAAAAAATGCTTTCAGTGAAGTGTTATATGGACTGAATCCATTGTTAATTCTATAACATTCTATAATAATTTAATCTGTCAAAATAAATCCTATTTGTTACATGAAAAGCCAATCATGTGGCTATTTTTAATCCCCGATCAAACCTACCATATTGCATTATACTGACAATCCAGTATCAGCCAAGATGAGGCAAAGCAGTAAAGATGAAGTCAACCACAAAAGCTCTGTGTTATTGTCTTCAGCCTTCTCTTCCATGTATTGCAGAGACACTTGTTTTATCCATGTGAGTTACATCTGTTCTGTCTCTTCAGTATTATCACTCTGTCCATCTTTGTCACATTCTTGTCATTCTTTCATAGTTCATCTCAGGTGAAGTGAGCTGTCTAGTCTTCCTTACTGTTATCAGTGATTTAAAAAAAGGACAATGAAGTCAGAAGCATTAAACATGCCTGTTAAGGATGTCAACAATCACTCTGTGTACAAGGACAGGAGGGACAGCTCTTTACCTTCTCTGGAATGTGCTACCTTCATACTGGCACATGCATGTGACTGAATGCACTTACATTCCAGCTTTTTAAGATAACATTTGACAGCTGTATGTTTGTCACATTATGATTGTACATAATATGATGTACATATGATTTATCAGGCAGAGAGTTACCCTTCAAAATGGATCTGACAGTAAAGCCCCAGCACCTATTTACAGTTGGAGCTCTGATAGGTCTATTATAATTAATTACGATACACACAAAGTAGCCCTTTCTCATCCTGAAGCATCCCTAATCAGCCGCAACTGAGGTCAGGCCTCCTGTTTCAGTCATTGTTGTGATGTAAAGAAACTGTCTGGTATGGATAGAATGGCCATTATCTGTCATTGCTGGGGAAAATTACCCAGTCTGACCTGGCAAATGATTAGAAAGGCCTGCAGGTACAGAGCTGTCTATTTGACTGGCTGACTTGATGCTGGCTAAAAAGGCAGACATTCCTCATCTTAACTTTCTCCTGGACATTTTGCTTAGATTTTTTTCCAGTCCTTTCCACTTTCCCCAGCCTTCATTAAAAAGAAAAGACAAAGCTGTTTCAGCACCATATCACCTCAACAGCCTGACCTTACGTCCTTGTCTTTTTTTTATTTTCTCTCTCCCAGTTTCCTTTGCTTGTATTGTCTTTTGCGGCCTACAGTATATCTCTGGTTTCCTGCAAGTCTAAAACCCTTTTCAGATATGGGATACACAACACTGCTGGCTTCTTCAAATTATTAAAATAACAGATTTCTGTCATTCAGATATAGGTTCTTCTTGACTGAGTCAAAAATAGCCACACCTGTGATGAAGCGAGCCACAGTAGATTCATATTACAATAAAAATTGCATTTTATTCACCTGTACATAGTTTGTCAATATTCTCTCTTATATTCAAGCTCAGAACTGGTCTCAATATTCATTGCAATAACATAAAATCTTGTGTTTTGTAAATTGCAATTTATTTTAAAACTTTTTTGCATAAAATTAAATAAAATCATGGAGTATATACTGTATTATTTAAACAGTAATGCTGGGACCTACTGTGTTTATTTTACATGTATAATTTTTTGGCCTGTTCACAAAACATAGGAGTGTGTGGTAACATGTTAAACCTTGGTACAGCAGGATATCAATATAACGAATCAATGTTTGTTTGAGGTGTTCAGGAATCAATCATGATCATAGTGCATGGAAATATAGTGACATCATGAGGTGAAATCTCAAACTCCTACTGTCCCCACCCTCTGGTCCCTGACTTCTGTACCTGACTGTTTTTATCCAGGTCCAGGACATGTGCTTCAGCCAGGATAGTCGCTGGGTAGCAATCAGCACCCTGCGTGGCACCACCCATGTCTTTCCCATAAACCCCTATGGTGGTGCACCCTGCGCCCGTACACACATGTCCCAGCGGGTTGTCAACCGGATGTCACGCTTCCAAAAGAGCGCCGGCCTTGAGGAGATCGAACAAGAGCTGAATAGGGCGACTGCATTAGGAGGAGGAGCAGGAGGAGGAGGCATAGGAGGAGGTGGTTGCATCCTGGGTGGAGGAGGAGGCATCGGAGGTCGCTGTAGCCCCATACCTGGCCTGTCCAGTAGTCCCTCTGGATCTCCACTGCACGGTGAGGAGCTGGGAGGGAGGGGAATGGAAGGGCCTTATACAGTAGTATCCCAGCCTATTACTGCTTTTTGTTGGCTATTCAGGCATTGTATTGTTGGCAGTCAACTTGGCCTGTCAGCCATCTATCAGTGTATCAGAATCAAAATTCAGCTTTATTAGCATGCATGAGGAATAGACTTGGTGGCTCTCACTGTGTATGTACAGTGTTCTTCAAAGGTTTCAGTAAGACACAATAAGTCAATGTGATGTTCACTTATCAAATCATTTACTAACAGAGATTTAGATGAGAGAGATCTGATATTTAATAGACCACATTTGATTGTCTTATTACTACAGTCTCTATGGCAGGGGTGGGCAATTAATTTTTACAAGGGGCCACATAAGAAACCTGAACTGTGTTGGAGGGCCGAACCAACGATAACTTGAACTTAATTCTGCTCAATATTCATTATCTCCCATTGTAAAAAGCAGTGTGTTGATTAGCTGCTACTGGTAATCAGAAGAATAAGCATCTTCTATAAATAGATGAAATTGTGGTGTAGGTCAAAGAGGAAAATACTCCTATAGAAGTAATGAACAGTAAAAACAAACATTAGATCACAGTTCCTTTTTATTTTCAACTTCACATAACACTGAAAAGGTCTTTTGCAGTATGGTAAGGATATGCATTTTCAGTTCATTGAGTTCAGTGAGAGAAATCCAGTCTGGCTTGGGCTTGAACAAGTGCATTGAAATCTGGATTTGTTGAACTTCATCACTGAGAATGTCTGTTCACATATGTAGGTAGATCCAAAGATTTCCTGCGATGTCCTCAACCCTCCTCGTTTACAGTGCGTCGGGAGAGGGGACGTTCTCATATGCGCCCTTTTTCTCTGGGCATATTAGTGCTGCAGAGTCCAACAAACACTCTTTAATAAACTCTGTCAGAAAACTGCTTATTTTTTCCTGGCAATTTTGTGGGATATGACATAACTTGTCTTGAATGCTGGGTGTGGAAAGTTTTTTGTTTGTAAAAAGTCTTTGTTGGTTATGCAGTTTCACTAGCAAAGCATCCGACTCACTTGCGCGCTCTTCATCCGACAAGTTCTTGTATTTCTCCTCATGTTGGGTCACGTAGTGGCGATTCAAATTGTAATCCTTGAACACAGCAACCTGTGTACCACAAACTAAGCGTAACGCTTTACCTTTGACTTCTGTAAACAAATACTTTCCAGTCCATGTCTTATTGAAAACGTGCCATTCGGCATCAACTTTTCTTTTTTTGGCGTGAGTTGACATTTTGAGGGTTAGCTGGCCAACATCACCTGTCTCTCACCTGGTAGGTCGGGGATCTTAAGTTCACCCGTGAACTTTTTTCATTCATGTTCTGATTTGATGGACTTCACGCGGACCGGACAGGGACGCCCAAAGGGCTGGATGTGGCCTGCAGGCCGTAAAATGCCCAGGTCTGGTTTAGATGTTTTAAGATAGATGTAATTAAATATACTGTATCTGCATGGGTTGGCAATTAGTTGGATTAATTTATTAGTCATTTGGTTTGTAAATTGTCCAATGATAGCAAAAAGAAAAGAAAATCCTACACTTTTATGTTTCTATCCTACACTAATCCTGCACTTACTATCAAGGTCCTGCCTGAATCGCTGGACAATGTGCCACTGGACAGTAACAGTGACCCATGATGTAACTTATCAGGCACATTTGCAGTCATCCCAGATTCTCTCTCTCTCTCTCTGCTGGTAAGGAGATACCACTTTTTTGTTAGAACAATTGTTTGAGATTTCATAGGTACTACTTACATGGCACTTGGACATACAGTTAGTTCATACTGTGTTATTTACACCTGAGCTTACGTGCCACTGTATCTCTGATACCTAAATGGAATCTGAAGGAGAGAAGATAGTAGTAAAGAGCAACTGAATAACTTAAATATTTGCCTACAGTAAGTCACAGGTCCTCACTTGAGCATTTTTGTAATTGGACAGCTGGTGCTTCAGTTGTTGTCTCACAGTGCAACTTTGTTGCTAAGTTCAAGTTTTTTTATGTTCAATAGCATCTCTAACTAAAGAGTTTATTGGTCATTGTGCGATATTTGGATTGCAAGTAAAAACCAAACCTCATCAGCATCTGTAATGGTTATTGCCTTTAAGGAGGTCTCACTGTTCATCTTTGCTGCTGACTTCCTCAGAATCACTCAGGAAGAGAATGACAGGTTTATCTGTGAGTGTGACACTGCTATGGCTAAAGTATGTAAGTGACCCTAAATGGAAAGTTCAACACTTACTTCCAAGGTTGTGTCCAAAATCCCCTCCATCAATCACCACTTCCTGTATAATTTACACTAAGTAGTTCACTCAATAGTGAACAGTAAATTGAGATTTCCGAAATTTACTTATAATAATAATAATAATAATAGTTTATTTATATAGCACTTTACAACTCGGCAGGAGCCCAAAGTGCTTCACAAAAGGACACTAATACAACACAATACTAAAACAAAAACCTATACAAAACAAACTACAAAGTATTAAAAACCCAAAAATAAAAGACATCCCTATCAGAATAAGAAACAGCATAAAACAACAGGGAATGAGTTAAAAACGAGTTAAGATTAGGACGAGCTAAATACCAAAGGCCTGTCTAAAAAGATGGGTTTTCAGAGTTGACTTAAAAGCCGCCAGCTCAGTTTCGGCCTGAAGCTCTGGCGGTAGGGAGTTCCAAAGCCTGGGGCCATACACGGCAAAAGAGCGTTCTCCCCATTTTTTGTACCTAGCCCGAGGAACAACCAGGGACAGGTGTTCTGAGGAGCGCAGGGTTCTGCGCGGCACTACTTATTGTCGTCATTTTTCACTCACAGCTGTAAAAACGGACAATGGCAATATTCCATGTGATAAAATGTGGAGTGTTGCATTGTGGGATTGTTAGCAGAAAGTAGTGTTCATGCTATATACACAACTTTTTACATTCGACTGGGGAATTTTTGAGTACATTATACAGTGGACAGATTCACACACTCAGCATTAAGACACCACTACAAAATGGCAAACTATATACAGTTTATATAGTTTATACTATACATAGTATATAGGAAGGCTGCTGATGGTAAGGTCAGATAGGTGAGCCATGAGGCATGTGCCAGGGCCCAAAAAGTGTGTGATCACAAAGCACTATATAAAGAGCAGAGTGATTTTGGCCACAGTTCAAGAGGTAGCTGGGCCATGATTTCTGCTCCACCATCAGGGGGCACAGTCACATACAGCAACACTTCAGAGTGAGAAGAGAGCTCTTGGCACAAGCCCTAAGCAGCTTGATGCAGGAATTAGAGCTCCATGTCACAACCTCCAGGACACTAACAGTACGTCATAATAGTGTAAATAAAGGCTCTAATTTGCTGACATTTTCTACTAGGAAGGCTGCTGATGGCAAGGTCAGTTAAGTGAGCCATGAGGCATGTGCCAGGGCCCCAAAAGTGTGTGATCACAAAGCGACTGAGTGGAACAGAACAGAGTCCCTCACAGATATGGTGGACTGCCTAGTCTATGATATGGCTGCCTTCAGCATAAAACTGAGGCACCACAGTCTGAGTTCAGAATTCTTATCAATACACATGTGCCACACTCTGGGGTTGCAAGCAAGCCTTGCCCACCTGCATCTTTGATGATACTTCTACAGACAGAGTGGAATGCTGCCTTCACCACAAAAAGCAAAGGGTGGCACACAGCCTTGGGGTGCATGCAGAAAATACCCATCCTCATCCTCTGAGTCCAATGGACCTTAACAACTTTTTAAAGATGCCCTTCTTGGTATTTTGCATAGTAAATGGTCTTATGTAGCACTCTTGTACACATTGAAGCACTTTACACTGTTTGTGTGTGTAAATGGGTGACTGAGAAATACTCACACATTCACACACAAATGATATCACTGTTCACTGTTCAATTCACACACAAATGATATCACTGTTCAGTTTTATTGAAAGATAAGCTTTATTTCTTTATTTCTAATGATAATGTTAAGATGGGAGTGTCTGAAGTTTCTAAAGGAGGTTCTGGACTCAATAGCAAGAGTCAGACACCGGGTAAAATGAAGTGATTTATTGTATAAGAATCGTTACCAAGAGTAACTTCAAAGGGTAGAGGCTGTAGACTGACAGGGAGTCGAGCAGTCACATAACGTCGTCTTCTGACCAGCAAGTTGGTGGTTCGACTCCTGGTCTCCCCGCATGCCTAAGTGTCCCTGAGCAAGACACTGAACTCTGAATTGCTCCCGGTGGCTTGACTAGCGCCGTTGTGTGGCAGCCTTGTTGTGAATGGTGTATGATCTCCCTGTAAAGCGCTTTGGCCAGTGCAACACACTGTGAAAATGCGCTATATAAATACAATGCATTTACCATTTACAAATCCAGAAAGCCTAATGGTGCTGTTTAACATACACAAGTGGTCACAGTGAAGACAAGAAAACATTTTTGAGGAAGTTAGGCAGAGCAAAGTGTAAATATGCATTAAAATCTATTATTTGTCTGACATATTAGTTTGTGTGTGTGTCTCTGTGTGTGTGTGTGTGTGTGTTTCCAGTGACTGGTCATCTGAGTAACTCTTTTCCAGGGACTCTGTTCTGGCTGCCACAGCCTTGTCTCCCATGTTTGACAAACACCACAGCAGGCCGTTCACACCGTCTCTGTCCCAAGCTGACATAGATACACATAGATAAACACACACTTTGTGTGAACTGCACTGCTTGACCCTGAGGTGTTACTACGTGTAAAATATCACAGTTCTCATTAATCACGGGTTTCCAAGAATATCCCTGAGCTTTGATGGGTAGACTACACCAGGTTGAGGTCAAGAACTTGATAAAAACTTCAGAGAACTGGGTGACTGGGAATTGGTTAGGATTTAATTTCACATTATATTATAGAAAGTATTTTACT